TTGTTTTGTTCTCACTGTAACCACAAATATTCTGCACCTTGCAGAGCCCGGAAATGTTTTTAGTTAGGTACGTAAGCAAGAGCAGTTTTGGTATCCTGCCTGATGTGCAATATGCATACTTTCACTTGTAAGTATAGAGTAGTTAATCAGCATGTGGTCGGAGCCACACTTTCAAATGATTAATTTTCACATATGCCATTACAACAAGACATTTAAAATGAGCGCATGAAATGCTCCAGGATACGTAAAAGACGAAAAACATCAGTATTGTGCATCATGGCAACATCTGCATCAGTAACAAACAACAGCAACTACGTCTAGACAATTTAAGCACAATGTAACTAAATGAAAGTTCAAAGCTTAACACAAAGTTTAATGGGTTATCTCTACTTCACTCATGAATATGGCATGGCTTTTTTTTCCTACTCAAAATACTGAACCAAGGTCTTACTGTAGGTGTACTAGTTAGCCCTCAAAAACACTTTAGTTTTTGCTGTTTATTAATGCTGTTTATTAATACTTTTCTGCATGATCTTATTCTACATCCCTAATCCCACCTTACACCTAGACCTAACTGCTAACTTAACAACTATTAATAGGCAGAATTTTAGGTGTTTATTACATTGAAATTAAGAACAGTATGACCAAAGCCTAAAACAGGTGCAAGTTGGGGCTAAACACTGCAGGTGCCATATACCATACTACATTAACATGTGACATACAGTAGAGGTAAACCACTGACCTATTTTTTTTTACATTTTGAGCTCTCATTTCACTGTTTTGCGGTTAAACTTGGCTAGACATCGTTACTGTTGATTGTTGTTGATGCAGAAGTTGCCAGGATACGGTTTTAACACCATCAGTGTATCATAGTTTTACTCTAGCATGATGAAATTCCCAATTAAACACAACTGAACCTTCTAATCTGGCTCTCATGATCTGAAATCATGAAGACACATTGCATTACATACTTGAACAGTACATAGTGCATTTATTGTGTATGGCCATACACCCAAAGAGCTTAACAATCATGAGAGGGGTCTCTCCACACCACCACCAGTGTGCAGCTTTCACTTGGATGTTGCAACAGCAGCCACAGGACAATGGTGACTGTGCGCTCACCACATAAGGCCAATTCAGTGGATGGAGATGATTGGGAGATCATGATGGGTAAGGGCCAAAGAAGGGAATCTGGCCTACTCTTTATAAGAAGTACCATGAGATTTTTAATGACCACAGAGTCAGGAACTCGGTTTGATGTCTAATCCGAAAGACAGTGCCCTCTGACAATATGGTGTCCAATTCACTTTACTTTATTTGGGCATCAGTATTCACAGCCTGGTCTCCGGGCCTGCAGCTTCATAATGTTGTGATCATTAGCGATGTAGCCTTAACTGATTGCTGGAGAACGCTCCGTCATTCACATAAACGACATATCCCATCATGTACTGCATTTACACACCAGTTCAAGGTCCCCCGTGATTACAAACACACACCTGAATCCTGTCATGACTCATAACTGGGATTACTAGAATGTTCACCTAAAGATCTGTCTTTAAGACAGTACTTTATACCAGCTACAAACAAATTATTGTAAGGTTACAGGAACTTTTTATCAGGTGTTTTAGTTCATTACATCTCAGGGTCAGTTAGTATATATGCAACTGAACAAAAATACACATTATTAATGTATATAGTCTAAATACAAGTAGTTTAAATGGAATTTAAATGTAATAGATCTGCCAGGTTGTCATTAGCATGACATGTCTGCATCAGTTGCATCACTTTACTTTCATCTAAATTCTCTTCTGAGGCCCCATGGGACAGTAAAGTAGCCATTGGATACACACTGGGTTTTTTCAGGATACTTCACTGTTTTTCAGATACTGTGAATTGAAGGAAGTTTTTGGGTCACATACCGTTTTTCTCATAGTGTATAGTAAGGTAGTATGATAATTCAGGTGAGTGTGAAGTAAAATCTGGCCCTCAAGGAGCAGTATTCAAAATTCCTACTGCTGTAAAAATACTAAAAATAATAACTAATAGGATGGAGAGTCCAAAACTGTTAATGGAGATCTAGCTGCCTGCAGAGTTAAGCTCAAACTCCAATCAAACACAAATGTTTGTAATTATCAAGGGCTTCTGAAGATCTTAATTTGCTGGTTCAGGGTAGGAGTCGGGGGCGATTCTTGGATTTTTAACATTTGGGTGGCACAAGAACCAGTCAAGGGGTGCCCATGCTAAAAGTATTTAAATTTTAAGACATAATAGGCATATTTTAATCTAATCAAGCTTTTCATGGATATTGCAAATTAAAACAATACAATATATAAGACTACCATGCAAAAATGTTTGATTTTTCAATACATTAACTATTCCGCATGTTAAAAGTGTCTGAATGATAACATTATTAAAGCACCACATTGCACAGTTTACCTTTACCAAATTACTAGAGACTATTTGGCATGGCATGCTATTCATCTTATAAACAAAATAAAAACAATTTAATCTTATAAACAACAACTTCTATTTTAAGAGGTCCTGCTGCATCACAGCTGAATTACTTTTAGCACATACTGGAGCATTCATTCATTCATGCATTCATTCATTCATACGCTCGCTCGCTCGCGCGCTCGTTCGTTCGTTCGTTCGTTCGTTCGTTCATTCGTTCGTTTAATTATTCATTCATTCATTCATTCATTCGTTCATACATTCGTATTTTCCTTTGGCTTAGTCCCTTTATTCATCAGAAGTCACCACAGAGGAATAAACCACCAACTCCTGTAGCATATGTTTTATACACAACATGTCCTTTCACCTGCAATCCAGTACTGGGAAACATCCATACACACTCATTCACACACACACGGCCAATTAAGTTTATTCAATTCACCTATACCTCATGTCTTTGGACTGCGGGGAAACTGGAGCACCCAGAGGAAACTCACACAAACATGGGGTGAACATGCCAACTCCACACAGAAATGCCAACTGACACAGCCGGAACTCAAACCAGCGACCTTCTTGCTGTGAGTCGACTGTGCTAACCACTGTGCGACCATGTCGCCCTGGAGCTTTCAATATGCATTAAAGTATTTCAATATTTTTAGGCCTGTAATTATAATTCCTTACTTACAATGAGCAAAAAGAAGTAGTCTGCATCTTGTGAAAGCGTGCTTCTCCTAGATTTTAGCTTTAAAACTGACAGCACTTTAATCCAATGGCAATCATCATTAACAGCGCTTTAATCCAATGCTGTTGAGCATTGTAAGATTGACAGAACTCTAAAACAGTGCTGTCGAGCATTGACACTCTAATCCAAAGGCATTGAGCAATGCGAAATTGACAGTGCTCTAATCTAATGGTTTTGAGCATTGACAGTGCCCCATAAAATCATCCCTAGTTGGGGCAGTTTTTTTTTTTTTTTTTTGCGAATCCACTAGAGACCAATGTACACTTTTTCGCATCTCAAATTTCTCTTGCGAGTGCCATTCATGCCTGCTGTTCTTACTGAAATCTACCAGAGGTCGCTGCCGACTGATTGACTGACCAACCGACTAATTTTGCTCACCCTCCCCCTTCTCTAAATTGAAGCAATAGTGTTTTAAAAAACACAGCCCACCCTCTTCTCTAAATTTAGTTTAAAAAAGCAATCCAGAAAAATAATGTTTTTAGATTTGACCACATTCTCACCTTGTTATTTACTTGTTTATTTTAATTCTTAGCTTTTGTTTTTGTCTTACCTGCTTTCTGGAACCGTTTTTCACCGGACTCGATCATCCTTGTCATGTTGAATGAATTGGATATACTTTACATTAAATGGCAACTTCATTTCACAAAAGACAGAGTTAAGATGCCGTTCTTTTATTCCATGTGGATGCTATAAAGATAAACAAGAGACGAAAAAGGGTCTAAGAACTTAAATATGGTGAGAATGAATGAATGAATGAATGAATGAATGAATGACAGCTTCTAAATTGTCTGAGGGACATCCCCTTTTTGTCCAGTAGATCTTCTGTTTTATTAGCTAATTTAATTATTTAAAAAAATGTATAATGTATAAAACTAAATATTATTTCTCCTACTTCATAATTTTTATACATCTGATAAGCTTTTTATATTAAAAGACAATGCACAGATATTGATGTTTCACAATGTTTTACACATTTGAATCTAACAAGCTTAGCTTACAATGTTTACATTGCTCTACTTACATTAAATCTAAATCCCAAATATCAGATATAACAACAGATTGTTAAGATTTAATTAATGTCATTTTTAATGTTATTGATTTACGCACTTACTTGACAGATTTCATTTATTAATTTTCCTTCTGCTTTGTCCCTGGTTTATTACAGCAGAATGAACCGCCACTTACTTGACAGATTTATATATTTTAAGGTTTAGGGGGTTTGTGTAATGCGTTTTATGTTTGGTAAAATAATTTCTATTTGCATATATAGTGATTTTTTTAAATCAAATACACTGTCTTGTTCCAATAGTTGGATTTAGATGTTTTTGCATAAGAACAATGATGGATTTAGCTAGTTTTGATGCAAAAGAAAATTTACCTTGTTAAAAAACAAAGAATTTTCTAAAGTGACAAGGTATTTTATTTACTAGCTAATAACCTCATCATTACTTATAAAAATAAACTTCCACACCTAATTATAGGAGCCTGATAGAAAATTCTCATTTACAAGAAAAAAGGTCTGATGAATTTAGAGGGTTTTGCATTTGAACTCTTCACATATAGGGCTACATTTTTTAGAATGAGCCTCTATTAAAAATACATAAAGTAAGGAATGTGCATTCACTTCATATAATATAAATGTTGATTCAAATCTGTGCCTTGATCTAATGCAGCTGTTTGAATAAACCTCAAACCCTCACTTTGACTGTTCAAGGTCTTTAGCCCTTGTCATTTTGCCTGCCATGCCACCTCAATAACTGTAACAAATTCATCATTACCTGAATTGCATTTATTTTTTTGTTCACAGATGACCATGAACGCAACATCCAACTCAAACAACTCATGTGTGATCATGAACTCATTATCAGGTCACCTGCTGATGTCCATGTACATTGTCGCCTTCATCCTGGGGCTGCTGTTTAACCTGGTCACCATTGGTCCCATAATTCAGCAGATCTACAGAAAGAATGTTCTTGGGATTTACCTATTTAGCCTGTCCATCTCTGATCTACTTTACATCCTCACTATGCCTCTGTGGATTTATTATTTCAACAACAACCACAGATGGACATTTGGCCAGGAGCTCTGTAGCCTGGCAGGTTTCTTTTACTACTCCAACCTTTACATCAGCATCTTTCTGCTTTGTTGGATCTCCATCGATCGCTGCCTGGCCATCACCTTCCCACTGCGAGTCCAAGCCTTCCGCCGGCAGCGTTATGCCTGGATCATTTGTGGACTGGTCTACATTTTTGTCATGACATTGCACTCTTTGGTTCTTTATCTGGACAAGCTGTCCGATCCACTAGATGACAGTGAACAGAGGTGCTATGAGACCTTCCCAATGACGGAACGCATTGCAATGTTTAACCTGATACGAGTCGGAATTGGATTTTTCTTGCCGCTTATTGTTATAACGGTCTGCTACTGCTTGATCCCTACCAAGGTACAGCAAAGCAGAGGGGTTGACGATCAAGGCAAGCGCAAAGTGAAGCTTCTGTCTATGGGAGTCATTGGTATTTTCTCCTTCTGTTTTGCACCATACCACATACTCCTGATGGTACGATCCATTGCCTTCTTTACTGTGGGAGATAAACAAAGCTGCATCATTGAACAAAAGATGTATATACCCTTCACTTGCTCCCTTGCGCTGTCTAGCCTGAACAGTGTGGTGGACCCAGTGCTCTATGTTTTGGCCAGTAACGGAGTGAGAGAAGACATGAAGTTTTTCTGCTGGAAAAACAAGACAAGGAACGCCACAAGAAGCCAACTAGTTGATTCTAAACGGACGACAAGAATGACCAACTGCTGTTAGGACTTAGAATTCTTAGGACTTAGAAAGAAGATTGGAGCCTAGTAATGCTACTTATTTGTAATTGCTGTACATATCCATTCAGGAGTGGGTTTATATGAACTTGAAAATAATTTTGTAGAAGGGATCTAAGTGGCAACCAGTTGAACCAACAATCTGACAAACATTGTTTCAATCTCTTTGATCTAAATAACTGAATTGACTTTTTAAAAGTAGCCAACTGTATATATCTGGATCATAGTGATTTTATTATTATTTGATGAACTCTTGACACCATGACTGCAAAAGACTCCATAGTGCAGGTGTCAATAGGGAAAAAAAGTCTTCTTTTTTTAAAACATTTATAAATAAGCCTAATTTATGTCAATGCTAATTACTTGTTCTGAAAATACTGACATTGTAACATTACATATTAATGCCTGGTTAAACTGTATTGTGTCTGATTTGTGAATAAGCTGTTTTTATATCAAAATACTGCACAAAAAATGCTTGTTTAGCGGTTTAGCCAATGTACAACAGTGTTCTGATACCAGAAAATGGTTGAATCCAAGTCAAAACAAACCTGACCCAAAAGATTTTTTGTTAACACTTTATACGGTAACACTTAACAATAAGGTTCATTAGTTAATGCATTTACTAACATGAACTAATCATGAACAACAAATGTACAGCATTTATTAATCATAATGGAACATTTACTAATGCATTATTAATATCCAAGTCCATGCTTTTTAACATTAGTTATTACAACATGAGTTAACATGAACTAACAATGAACTACTGTATTTTCATTAACTAACGTTAACTAACATGAACAAAAACAGTAGTAAATGTATTGTTCATTTATTTGTTCTTGTTAGTAAATGCATTAATTAACATTATGAACCTTATTGTAAAGTGTGACCGTTAAATTATTTTGTATATATATGTTAAATTTTGAAACTTTTGTTATTTTGCAGTATTTAAACTTTACAGTAATTTTACTTTTTAGATAAGATTGCAAAGATTATTGTTTAGCTGATAAAAAGCCTTAATTGTCATTTATAAGGGTTTCATAAAGCATGAATAGTCCTCACTTTAGATTAGGTCACAAAACTGCATGAAGTTGAGCTAATAAAGCATTTATTAACATACATAATAACCATTAATATATGCCTTAACAAAAAAACATCATACATGTTATTTTGAATAGTTTATTAATCATTTACTAACTCATTCTGAATGATCTTAATAATCACATTTTTCTTTTAAATAAAAATGGTTTGTGAATAACATAATGCTTAATTTAGTATTAAAAAAATAATCATTAACAAAGTATGGAAATACAACTATTAAGCACGTTATAAATGTGCTTGAAAGTTAAAAATACAACATTTGTAGCTGCAGTTATAAACTGCTTATTAACACCTACACTAATTTAGAGTTAATGCTTATCAAATATTGAATTCACCAGATGCCAATGCTTAGTAAATGATTCATAGTGTGTAGTTATTATAAAGTGGTACCATTTTTTTTTTTATTTTATTTGAATGCTTTGCTCTTTTTCCTTGAGTCTAAGTTAATTTAATGCCTTTTTTTTTTTTGTTTCGTTGGATACTATCCCTTGAGTCAAAGCATAAGAGCCTTTCTTTCTGCATTATCCCCCTGTAGCCAACAGATATCCTTAGTGTGCTAGATTTCTAGTGCATTCAACCAGTAAATCCAGCTTGTAAAATCTATTGAGTCAAAAGTTGAATTTAGCAATCGCAGTATTGGAATAAAACAACACAAACTATCCTCCCCCGAGCATTTTCTAGAAGCCAACACAAAGACGGCAAAACTAGTACTGGATACCAGATGTAAAATTTTTATAATGTTTTTAACAGTTATAAGTCATGATAAGTAATGATAAGAGATGATAAATAATCGTCTTTAAATATTTTTTTCAAAGAGGGCTTAATAGAAAGCAAATTTAAATTGCATAAACCCTTTATGTTTCAATGGATTCTGACTGGCTTGTCAGTGTTTTATCATTTATAAGTTGAAAAAAATCATTCTGAAAGTGGTTTAATATTCAGAACAATTTTTGAAACTACGTCCTTATCTTTATCTTTATAATTAGCGTGCTTAAAGGGGAGACTACGATCTCATATTTTAAACTTTAGTTAATGTGTAATGTAGCTGTGTGAACATAAACAAAATCTCTGAATGTAAAAAGTTCTAAGTTCAATGCAAAGGAAGACCTTGGTTTTTACAGAGTTAGCTTAGCAAAGCCTACAATGAATGAATTTTGGGGACTACAAAAAAATACTTCCGCCCCCTGTGACATCATAAGTTTGTTTACTGCGCATCCCACATTGAGCATTCAGGTAAGGGCCGTGGCCAGAAGCACTGTAACGTTATAGCAGAGATGAAGCTTAAAAATGCGTCTAAACGCTGCTGTTTCCACAGAGCTTCATCTGTTTCTGTATTTGGGCTTCCAAAGGACACGACACAAAGACAGAAGTGCCTTGAGTTCAATATTAATTATCTTCCAGAGAATTATAAAATACTCAGCAAGCATGATTTGACAAAACAGCTCCAGAATCTCTCCCAGTTCAGTGCTGGATTCGGTTAAAATCTCCTCAAAGCAGAAGTTGTAAGCTACAAGTAAGTGTTTTTGTTTGTTAAAATTGATCATGACATGTACAGTGTCTAGCGTTAACGGTATGCTGTAGCAATGATGTAAACAGTGCGAAATACTGCTTTGCGGGCTAACGATTTAGCTACAAATTCATATCTATCAGCCAAACTGCTGTAACCCACACTCACTCCACCAGCACGTTTGTGTCTCATGTGTGTGCGCACGGGACTGCACTGATAGTCTTCAAGCAGCTCCATGTGTTTCACATCTCAGATAATGAAGTCGCAAAAGATATGTGGATGATTCATATTACGTACACCTGCATATTCCGGATACTCATGAAAGACGTCATAACGCATAGAGTGAAAAAAATACAGATTAGCTTACCTGACTAGTGGTTGCAGCAGAATAATAAATCAAGGCTCAACAGGTAGCATCTCACATCTTGTGCTTTATTCTTCTGTCACGATATATTACAGAAAATAACTTAATCCGAGCATCAGATAAAAAGAAAGTCCCGCGCACATGCGCTTGCTAAAGAAAGTTAACACATTCACACACACATAGACGCACACACAGACGCTGTTAAAGGAGCCGCACCCCATTTCCACTCCTTAGTTATTTTAGAGAGCGGGCGCGAGGTTGACTGCATGTTTACACAGCAGAAAAGCGCGTGCTTTTACGGGAGTGACGTGGAGCCGATCCGCCAATAGCAGCACATTATGACGATGACCAATCAGAGTCACTTAAGGACGGGCCTTTTAGAGGAACTAGGAAATATGACAGTCGTTTTCATGTTAGCTGAGTTGCTGTGTATAATCAGAGTGAGATATATGAAAAAATTACGCAATTTCCTTCAAGTGAACCACAAGCACACATTGCTTTGCATCTTATAAACACAACCAAGCCTTAAAATTACATTCTGGACCGCCCCTTTAATTTGAATTGACCTTTAGATTATATTATCTACTTACTCCCGGGGCCGTTTATATAGATGTTGATATTTAGCCGCACCATGTTGGTGTTTCATATCATCTGATTTTTACGAGGTGGGTTGTTAGCCAAATGCATGACCCCCCAACCTAGAGGACCAGGACATAAACACGTACACTATGGACAATAGCTTACCCAATTCACCTATAGTGCATGTCTTTGGGCATGTGGGGAAACCCACACGAACATGGGGAGAACATACAAATGCCACACTGAAATGCCAACTAATCCAGTCGGGTCTCGAATCAGCGACCTTCTTACGGTAAGGTGACAGCGCTACCCACTGCACCACGGTGTCGCCCACTAAGATTAAATTAGCATGTAGCATGTCTTCTTCTTCTTGGCCTTTAAATCAAATTTCAAGACTATATCTTACATCATTTTAACCGTCGCATCTGAAAACTGAAATATGAAACAACTTATTTCCTTGGTCTTGGTCTTGTCATGGACTCACATAGACTGTCTTGACTTTGACTTGACCCTGTTTTCAACCCTCAGTCCTAAGTTGAACTGAATTAAGCTGCACTTTTATTTACTTCATAGATATGCAAAAAAGAGAGGAATTATTACTTCATGGATTGCCTGAAAGGGAGTATATATCTGTGTCCAACTTAGTAACATCAAGAGGATGTTTACAAATTGCGGATTTGCAGTTAAAAAGGACCTGCATCTCTGTCTTTGAAGGACCCTTGAATCACTTGAACTTTCATTGTGAGAGACTGACTCAACTCAAGTGTTGTTATTGTAGGATAAAGCCTCGGCTGTCTGTTCCATTTAATTCAAAGATGACTGTAAATAATAAGATTTAGCTGTAAAATAATGGTAATACTTTATTTGGATGGTCCTCCTTTAGATAGATGTTAACAACAACAAAAAAAGCAATGTAAGCACTTTTCAAAGCTCAGCATGTCGCTATTACCTTTACATGTTATGCTTGACAAACCTCACATTTTCTAATCTGTAATTTACCATTACTGCAAAGAAAGAGTAGATCATGAAATAAAAGAAAGGCACTGATTCTGAATCTTGTGCCACATTTAGTCAACTGATTCTTTTGTTAAAGCTGTTTAAATGAAGGTAAAATGATTAGTGTTTCATTCAATGGCTGGGAACATGTACCGTCTGTGTAATCATGCTGCTTTCTGAAGAGCGAGCGACCCTTGCAACATCAGCAAGTGATCTTGAGTGCTGATGAGGAGGAGAGTTTGCGTAGCATCTCTAACCAGTTTCGCCTACAATACACTTTGTACAGTTTTGTACCTCCACCTTCCGCTGGCATGATTGCCTCTATGGATAAGTGGCTCTCGATGGTGTGACTGTAGTCTTCTGTATGTCTGGGAGAGAGAGAGTGGGAGAATGGCCTTGTGCTCTACTGTAAAATGCCACGGACCAACTGAATAGAGTGATTTTGAAGTGAGAGCGTAGCGGTGAATTGCAGCTTTGAGTAGCTGATCTGCAGTCTGAATGGTTTAAATGACTGCTCGCTTTCACCTATTTCAGCAGACGCCGCCATTCCATTCAGGGAAGATGGAAATGGGATGCCATATAGTGTCAGAACGGACTTGTTTGTACTGTCGTTCACCTGCACAAGACAGAACATTTCTCTTTGTGGGGTTCACTTGAGAAGAGAAAGCGACATTCTTTCATCATAATCACCGTATTGCATCACAAATGAAATAATGCGGGCTATTCTGCATTACACAATAAAGCTGCTGCTGAGGTCTCACCACAGCAGGAAGTCTGGAGGGACTTAGACGAGAACATCACAGAACACCGTGTCTGCTTCCCTCCACTCCAGCAATTGATTTGCACCTTACTGAACACGAACAACAG